CCAGATTTTTCCTCGAATGCATCTGCGCTGCTGCAGCTTTTAAAATGTAAGGACATGTTTTTACCTAAAACATAACCAACTTTGACCAGGTGCCCGGGCGTAGGAAATTTTTCCTCGCTAATTCTGCTCGAAGTATCAAAAAGTGTGTACTTTTACCTTTAATTTAAAAAAAAGAGAAGTTGCTGCGATTTTTTTCGCCAAGTTACAGCATTTTGAAGTAACCCTTGTATTTTCGTTCATTACCGTCGACATCAGCGTAACCCAATGTGCACGTGGAGGTTGCCGTTCGGATTTTGCACATCGTGTGGTCCTACAAGTCACGCAGCCTTCTTCCCGTCATATCCCAGTATGTTCGATATGAATACACCACTGGCCCTCTTCAGGGCCACACGATGTGCAAAATCTGAACGGCAACCTCCACGTGCACATTGGGTTATGCTGATGTCGACGGTAATGAACGAAAATACAAGGGTTACTTCAATGCTGTAACTTAGCGAAAAAATTGCAGTAACTTCTTTTTTTTTAAATTGAAGGGAAAAGTACACACTTTTTGATACTTCGAGCAGAATTAGCAAAGAAAAATTTCCTACGCCCGGGCACCTGGCCAAAGTTGGTTATGTTTCAGGTAAAAACATGTCCTTACAATTTAAAAGCTACAGCAGCGCAGATGCATTCGAGGAAAAATCTGGTGACTAGTTTTTGAAGCTGAAAGTGCAAACTTTAATTTTCAAAAAAAAACGATCTTGCTACGATGATTTTTAACGGAGATATCGTCGGTAATGTCGAAAACACAAGGGTTATTTCAATGAGCTGTGATTTGGCGAAAAAAAATAGTAGGAACTTCTTTTTTTTTAATTGAAGAGAAAAGTATACACTTTTTGATACCGTAAGCAGAACTGGCGAAGAAAAATTACTACACTCTGCACGGTGCGTCAAAGCACAGATTAACCCGAGCGGAAATAGAATCAGTTGTGTAATAAGGTCCCTAACAGGTTATTCCTTAGGCCCGGTCTACAATGAGTCGTTAGTTGTTAGTCAGAAGTCGCAACTATATGTTGATCCTTTTCCTTTCTGGGTGGAAGAAAAAGGACCGACATATAGTTCCGACTTCTGACTAACGACTAACAACTCATTGTAGACCGGGCGTAATGCAAAGTCGGGTCCTGTTAGGGAACCCTGATAGGGGCCATATTAGGAAATGTAACGCAATTTCCCGTTAAAAACCTGATAGGGTTGAAAAGTCAGGTCCTTATCAGGCTGCCTTTTAAGTTCCTTGTAGGGAATTACGTTACATGCCTGATATGTTTTGGGTCAGACATCTTATAAAAAAATTATCATTATATTATAATATAATGATAATTTAATCGGGATATAATAAGGTCTTTATCAGACAATTCCTAATGTAAAATCAGGGCAGCGATCAAAATAGTAAGTTTTCTCCTAGGGCGGAGACGTGAAAAGTTTCATATCGGCTCGCCTTTTATACTATTACGGGACGAATTTTACTTACGAGAAAGACTAACGCGCGGTCGCCACGTCGCGGCAGTATGTGGTACTATAGCAGGCGCATCCTATTACTGTTTGTTCAGGTCCTGATTAGAATGACATCAGGCAATTTTTATCAGGGGCGCACTATTAGTACCTATTCAGGTCCAGATAAGGATATTATTATTTAATCTTTATCAGGCGCACCCTATTAATGTTTTTTCAGGGCCCTGATTAAGATGACATCAGGCAATTTTTATCAGGGGCGCCCTATTAGTACCTATTCAGGTTCAGATAATGATATTATTGTTTAATCCTTATCAGGCGCACCCTATTACTGTTTGTTCAGGTCCTGATTAGGATTACATCAGGCAATTTTTATCAGGGGCGTCCTATTAGTATCTATTCAGGTCCAGATAAGGGTGATTTCAGGAAAAACCTTTCAGGCACACCTTACCTTCACATGGTAAGGCCTTGATCGTGCATCAGGTATGCCTGGCCGAATTTCTGCTCGGGAATAGACAGATCGCCAAAGGCCCGGGTGAAGACGAGACCACTACACACTTTGCCCCTTTACCGACAGCGTTGCCCCTAGGAGCGAGTCTGTACTAAATATATCCGATTTTATCGACAAATTTGGCCTTTTGGAGCGAGTCCCGACTAAATATATCCGATTTTATCAATAGAATTGCCTAAATTTAGTCTGGACTCGCACCAAAAGGCCAAATTTGTCGATAAAATCGGATATATTTAGTACAGACTCGCTCCTAGGGGCAACGCTGTCGGTAAGGGGCAAAGTGTGTAGTGGTCTCGTCTTCACCCGGGCCTTTGGCGATCTGTCTATTAATCTGTGGTCAAAGTGTGCAATTTTTTAGAGAAAAAACATGATCTTGATTTTGAGAAAGTTCCGGGAAATGGGAAGAGTGAATGCAAATTCTAATAAGAGCTTCTTAAAGTAGAGGCTTTGCCCTATAAAATGAAAAAAAACTTTTCAATTCGACCAGTTTTCGCGAAGTTACGCTTATTTTAAATTCGCCAAATTTTGATGTAAATTTCTTGTTGCGTTAATTTTTTTGACCAGTGTATTATGAGGATATCCCTATTATATCAAAAAAGGATATCCTATTTAAGTTCCATTTAAGTCCCGGGACGTATGGACGTAAATGGGACTTAAAATGTATATCCATGAGACATCTAGTGCTGTATGGGTCTATTACATACATGTACATGGCAACTCTGGACAATCGCCATATTTCTAAGAATAAAAAAGTAGTAGACATACAGTAGTTTTTTCACTCACACTTGCGGCTTTACTTTATAGATGGAATGCTTGGTCTATGAATATATGTCCTTGGGTCTTGATAGCACAATTCCGCACAAGAGCAAGGTCCTTGATGTGAAGTTTTTTTTTATAAAGTACTCGTTACACATTATAGAAATAGCCAGGGTTGAGAAAGTTACTTTATAAAAGTATCTAGTTATAGTTATAGTTTCTTTGCTAAAATGTAACTAGTTACAGTTACAAGTTATCGATTCTGAAAAGTAACGCATTACAGCTCTAGTTATTCGAAAAGTAACGAATCGTTACTTTGCAATTACTTTCTTGCAATGAAACTAAAAATATCAAATCTGCATTTGATTTAAAAAACGCATTTAAAAAACGTTGATTTAATCCGCCCTATCATTGTGAGATCAAATTGTGTAAATAATAATCCAACAGTTTTTCGAAAATTACAGACCTGTCTCGAGAGCTATGTTCCCTAATATCACTTTGAAGAGGATCTTTTGTGCCACTTCGCTAGAAGCCGGTCCTTGCAGCGGTGACAGCGGGAGCGGGCTAGTGTTTCTGAACTCTTTCACGGGCCGTTATCACTTGCGCGGAATACATTCGGCTTATTCTTCATTTGTCTTATTCGTGTAGAATAATTTGTGTACTATTTGAAAGAATAAATGACATGGATCGGAACTTAAGCTGAAAACTCACGAAAAAACTTAAGCTGTAAGATTTACGACTTACGAATTTCAACCAATCGGAAAGCATTTTCAGCATTGCTTAAGTTTCAAAATAGCTGCTTACGTTCTTGACTGTCATTGGTCACGTCTCATAAATCTTAAATCTTACTGCTGATGTTTCTTCGTGTGTGTGGGTTCTTCTTATCATTTCACTCTCGGTACCCCACTACTGCTCCAGTCAAACGTGGTTCGAAGCGTTTCAGTAGAAAAGTGGTTAGTATCTCATGAAGATGTGGTGAAGGTGTAGTAACGACGGTTCAAGATTAGCATTACGAATATCTGGAATCACCCGTCGCAATGTTGAACTCTACATTGGACCACTAATTGTAAGAAATACTTTAAATTATTTAACATGAAAGTAAAATGTGTACCAAAAAATAATAATAGTTCTGTTATGAACAGTTTTTAACTCAATTTGTTAAATTATTTAAAAAGATAGAACTTAATTAAGCTAATCAGCGAACGCAAATTAATTTGAAATATTGTAATATTCGTTAAAACAAAAATGTTTCGACTAACTGGGAATTAAGTACAGAACCAAAAGTATCTCCGCTGATTTCTTTGTTATGGACACAAGTGAAGTGACCCTACTTCAAAGGTTATCTAGCAAAGAGTAAACACAATGTTCAGTAATAAACGCATTTAGTTTTATACGTTTTTATTCCAATCAATTTTTAACCTATTTTATGATAGGAATAACTTTGCTTTAAAGAAATGTATCGTTGATATAAATAGCTTATAACTTTTTGAAGTCTATGACTGACCTTGATGAAATAGGTATCAATATATGCAAACATTCGAACACATATGGTACATACACACACATACGCTAGCCAACCAGATCAACTCAATATGTATTAAATTACTCAATGTTACAAGCCTTGGGCAATTGTTAACACAATATACCAAAAAATTGTAATATTTTATTGAAAAGAAATTAATTTTAGTTAGAAACAAGAGATCATAGTTAAGTATCGGTCTGTTCATCAAATGCATCTGTTAATGACATAACATATTATACTTGGATGCATTATATGTATAATATTCATAATATTGTATTCATAATTTTCGTACTTGTCTGATTTATCAATCTCTCTGGTTCTTGTAATAATGATAATAAATTATTTGTATCATGTACCTGTTCTCTTATCTAATTGATTACATCGACATTTAATGCACAAAGATATATGAATATTGATAAGGTATAATATTTATTAAATAATTGAATTATCATGGTAGATTTGTAGTACTTCTAAATTTTCTTTGAAGAAAAATTATTAAACCTATTTTTTAGTTTTTTTCGTAATAATCAATAAGTTTCTTTATAGATGAAAGTGATCCATGAAGAGATCCATGATAATATTGATCGCTCGATTAATGGCAATTATTTCCAAAGTGAGCCAAATACGAAGAAAAATTCGTAAAAATTAAGTTTTCTAAATTAAGATTTAGAAAACATATATTTTGTCAGTTTTGTAAAAGACCTTTACTAAATGGCTAAGATGTCTATTCTAATCGCGATGCTACTGCACTTAGTATGTACCATGGCACACAATATAAAGTCATGCTCCGAATATAATATTACATACGGAATAAAAACTGAGAAATACATACTCGGACTCATCGTAATCCCATTTCCGCCGGGAAATGAAGTTCATATAAGAGTAGGATTAAATGTTCCCACTGATTTGCCGGTAAGTATTTTTTAAATATTATTAAGACACAGAAATTTATAAGTTTATGGCCATTAATTCCGGCAATTTCTAATAATTTTAGCACTTTGAATTTTAGCACTAAACTTTTTAAAATAACATTTATGTAATCAGAATCGTATAATACTTTCTTTACTGCTGTAAAGAAATAAAACTACTTTTTGCATTTGGTGTGGTTTACATGGGAAAAATCGAAGAATAATTACAAAATTGTTTTTCTACAATATTTGTGTCCTGCATATTGAGAATTAGGGAATAATTTCTTAGTATAACTAAACATTAATAAAACAAAATTAAAAATTGTAGTGTTCTTGTGAATTGGAGAAGTAAATAATAATCGAAAAGTTATTTAATTATTATATAAAAAAGCTTAACAAGTGACAGGATTTAATAATATCATTCATGGTTCAATGTAAAACTGAAATATTGAATTTTATATTACGTACCTCATTGGAAATTAAAGATTATTATAATGTTATCTTACGCATAGCTAACTGCTTAGTGCTTTCTATTAAAAATTAACTTTTATTTTACTTGTTATTTTATTATCGAGTGCCTTTAATTATTTATCACGATATTAAATATAATTTCATTGTCATCGTGTTCCAGAAAGAAAAATTTGTATTAGAAATGTCAGTATGGTCACAAGTATACCTTCAAGCTGCTCAACGAACAGATGTTTTGATGTATACTATTGCTATGCCCTGGTTCAAAAATTTTAGTTCATTATCCGCGATATGGTTAAACAATCAACCATACTGCATAGGAACCGACGGTGAGTACCAACTTTGCTTAAAATGCAGTATTCGCTGTGTGCGTAGAGACTAGTGCTGCCGTGGTTGGTGAAATGTCGCATATTTTGCTGGAATAGCTGTCAATGATTGCTAATATTCAAGTTACGTAAACTGTCGTGAGGTATCTTGATAATTTTAGGTCTCTTTATAATTTCGATGAAAAAATTTTCGTTATATTACAAAACATTTGCTATACCTAGATTTTTCATTATACGTGTAGGTTAACTTCTCTAACTTTTGCAATGAGCCTTATCATACGAACGGGATTTGGACCCATTACTCATGACATTAAATTTAATCCGAGTGCAATACCGAAAGGAAAAGCCTTAGCAATATCGCATGTAGTTCGCGTTGAAGAATTGCGCAGTAAAAATATAAGTCATTTAATAAGATGCAGTGTGAGAGATACCGCAAACGTCGGTCAATGCTACTCCGTACAAGGTACAATTGCATGTAAGTATTAAATGAAATTTAAGTAAAATCCCAGACAACGTTATGTCGTCTTAAAGACATCTTAAATCTGTGAAATACATTTTTACATGAATACACGCAACAATTTAAATTTCCCTATCACAATTTTTACATTTTTCGATAATTGTCACTCCAGCAAATAATGCAAACTTCGGCCACCATGAGCGCCCTAAGTCCTACTTTTCCGCTATAGTATATCATCGTACGAAGCGAATAGGTATCACACACATACACATATTCGTAGAAATAGAAGCTAGTATTGTTATTATTATCAGAGTCAAATATAATTGACTTTTACTCGTACTTGACTATGTGTAATTTTCAATTAACATAGCGGAGACAAATAGGAAAATAATATCTCATTAAAGCAATCAAAATTTTCTTTCTATTATACATATCGTTTTAAAATTGTATGTATACATAAATAATCTCCCGATCATTTATTGTATTTTAAATAATTTAATGAAAGAAAACCTAATTCTTTATTATTCTAAAAAAACATGTGATTTGAAAGATAAGTTACATTTTGTTTCATATCAGTGTTAGATGGAAATATCAATGCTAATATGGAATTGGGGCATATTGTGTATCCGTCAAACATGGAACCAACATTGCAGAATTTACAGACGTATTATCGAAATTCAAGCACCTACCGTATAATCAATCCGATTTTCAATATTAACGACGAGTGCGGTGTTACCAGCTACTATACTGACCGCACAAATAGTCTCATTCCCAACGGCGAGTACACATCACCAGGACAGTGGCCGTGGGTAGTTGCAGTCTTCGTTGATAAAAGTGTAGACGAATCTCCGGCAAACTACGAATATTGGTGTCCTGGTACTATTTTGACAAACCAACATATATTAACAGGTACGTTAATCGAAAAATATCATATACTATTATAGTTCTCCTGGTATATCGAGCTAGGTGTACTTGTCCTACATCTTCTTCAATATTAAATCATCATATCAAGATTCTTAATTTTATCTGCTTAATATTATAAAATAGGCTTTCAAATTTCCATAGGTATTCACCTGAATATAATCAGGAAATAAAATGGGAGAAATTGAATATCTAGAATATAGTAATTACTGAATTAGCATATGTCTTCAAAATTATTATCTACGTGCAGGATGTTTGGCAAGTTTTATAATAAATTTTGAACGCTCTGCGATATTATAAATACTTATCATATAACAGTTAATAAAATTTATAAGGTTCATATCCAATAAATACAAAAGAATATATAGGATTAAGAACCATGACAAGATGTTAATATCGAAATAAATAATTTTAAATTTAGAGTTTCAACTACAGTCACGATATGTGGCATTCGAGAAACAACATTAGACCATTTATTGCGATAAATATTACGGCATGTCTGCGTGGTCGAGTTAGTGAGACGCCCTTCTAAAGAGTAGAGAGGTCCAGGTCCAAACTATAGCTGAGGTAATATGTTTCGCAATAACTTTAAAATGATTTAGCCGCTAACATCCTGTCATGGCTTTTATAATGTTATACAATATATTTTTATAAATATCTAATTACTTCTTGTCACATTAACATAGGATATTTTATTTAAATAAAAGATATCACATATATGACATAATATGGAAGGGTTGACAAGTTAGCCTTGGATAGAAAGTGCAGCTTCTAAGAACATCTAATCCACGCATATATTTTCTTTCTATTGATAGAGGGGGATTGTTTATGGGTTAACCACGAATTCAGAATAGACGTCAAAAAGATGGTGGTACTCATGGGACAAATTGACTTTCGCCGGTTTCGTAGAGACGGAATTGGTTATCCGAGGGTTACAGGCGCCACTCAATATGGTGCCTGTTATTATTACTCGAAGTCCTCTAACTGTGATCTGGGGATGCTTTTCCTTGAGAAGCCCATTGAATTCAATCCTATCATCAAGCCTATTTGTCTATGGTACGGTTCGACCGCTCTTGAAGATGTCATGGGTAGGACTGGATATGTCGTGGGATGGGGCAAAGTAGGGTTGGGTCTAGGTCATTTGCATACCCAGGAGCAACGTATGGTGAAAATGACGTTAATGAATCAGGTAATTACCTTCACATGAGCCGATTTTTCGACTTTTATCAATCGATATACGGTCGATATACGAATTAAATTACAATCGCAAAAAAGTCTTCTGAACAGAGACAAACAATGATAGTTGATTTGCGTCTACTGCTTTCTCCCTCTAATACATATATGGCGACTTTCGACACTCGCCATTTTTCTAAGCCAGGATGAGAACGTAGTAGACACAAAGCAGCTTTCTCATTCACACTTGCGGATTCACTCTGCAGATGGAATGCTTGGTCCTAAGGGTATACAGGGTGTTACTTAAAGACCGCCCACCAAGTACATAGCGTTATTCCTTATAAAATTCTGAGTCGAAAAGTCCTGAACCATTTTTTTCTATCATGCTTATTAATGCAAGAGTTAAGTCAACCCACTGAGCGCCGGCCTTTAGCCGGGCGCACGTCAGTGAGCCGCGCGCCTGGAAGTGTGCGTGAGCGCTCGGCCGCCGCAGCCGCGGCGGCGCGGTTCTCGCTCGCGCCGCTATCACGTAATATTACGTATCGTAATATTAGAAATAAATTTTTCTTATGCCTAGAACTATATTCCTCCTATCAAAAGTACCTCCTTTTGTAGAAAATCTGGACGGATAGAGCTTTTACCAAGACGTAATCATTACTATGAAGAATTTGACAAACGCCAAAAAAATTCTGTGTTTTACAAAAATTATTTTCCGAACAATGTATGTTTTTATAAATCTTTGCGTTCGCACTTAATTATTAAGACAAATCGTTTATTGAATCTTTTTACGAGTGATTTCATCCAGTTACTCAGAAGTAATAAATTTTGTAAGAGAAGTCTCTTATAACAATTAGACATTTAAATAACACATACTTAAAAGAAAATACTTAAAAGAAAAATAGAGGAAATTAAAAACAGAGAAAAATGTCTTTCTTTATAATAAAGATTTATTCTCTATTCATAATATTGAATACAATTTTCTCTCTGATATTAGAGGCCGACAAAAAGAATATTATCAAGCAACTCTAATCAGATTAGGTGTTTCTTATAGATTTTTAATAAAAAAAAGTAATCCTGCTGACGAAATTGCTCCATCACATTAGCAATTCGCTTACAGAGTATGGGTTGAGTTAGGTGCAGTTGTTCTTTTTAACTACATGATTTGTGTTAAAATTAAAAAATTCGACATACTTGATAATAAAAGATAACATAATATTCTTTAATTATTTAATAGTGTAGGGGAGGAACGCTTTATTTATTGTTGCAAGTGAGAGAAGTTTCCTGACGTTTTACAATAGTAGTGGTCTTGAAAAGAACTGTTTTGCAGTAAACTACTAGCCTTGAAAAGGACTGTTCTTTAGTCCTGCGAAGAACTTATTGAATTAAAGTTTTTAAATAGGCCCCGTTAGCTTCGATGCAACGTTTCCGCAGAATTAAATTTTCTCGCACGCATCGAAGCATTGGTCCATCAACAAATTTTAACGCCTCGACATACATGCGTTAGTACCATGTCTTGCTGGAAAAATATAACTGTTCTTTACGACAGGAATTTCTTCCAGAAGAAAATCTGGTAGACATTGTATTAAAAAATCCACATAATTTCTTCCCGTAAAGCAAACTTCTTTCGTACATAGTGATACATATGTATTATAAACTGATCAAGAGATTTTTAATATTTATACCGTCGAAATATCTGGCATGTGCATCTGGTCGATGCTAGAAGAGTAAGACCGATAGCTCTACCGTCTAAAAAGTCTGCCTAGAAGTTTAGCTTCCACCTATGTGGAAAGCTACGCATGCGGATCACGCGTGGGTTAGTAACATCATAATAATATTTGTTATGATATTTAAATACACATGTGCCCATAAATAAAGATTCGTAGGTCCACATAATATTTGCCATAAAATTTTTAGAGCTTTGTTAGGTAATTGTTCACTATAGGGGAGTCAGCTCCGATGACCTTGACCTTGACATATGTTGTCAAGGTTACCCTCCTGAGTAACGCTCAGAAGGTTTTAGCCGTCGCTCGTTGTTTGTTAAATAGTTATTAAAAAAACAATGTCGACCATTTATATGTAATTTTCAGACACAAATATTAAAAATTTTGAAAAATGTTTTAAACAAAAGTTGTAGATCTCTTTAAAATATATATTTTATGTCCTATTCATTTTTACTCTACGAGTGATAGTTTTCGAGAAAAATGATGGACTCTAAATCTTATATCTGTCCTCTCATCTAAGCATGTGCTTTGTAGTACATACATATTCCATATGGATTTGCGACTTTTCACGTGAGGCGAGATCCACTCCACACCTCGGACGTAGTTTGGGTTAGGTTATATCTTAACAAAGTGAAGCACCCCCGCAGGGGGGGCGGAACATACTGTCTCCACGCATGTACTTCCGCTGTTGTACTGTTCCACATGGGTTTGCAAATTTCCACGTGAAGCAAGATCCACTCCACACCTCTGA